CCACAGGGGACAGGTCTATACCATACATCCGTGTGACTGCAACGGTGTGGCAGGACTTCTAATTCTAAAGTTCGAGAGTTCTAAGTCTAGAGTTCGAGAGTTCTATGTCTAGAGTTCTAGTTCTAGAGTTCTTGTTCTAGAGTTCTTGTTCTAGGCTGAGGGCTCTGGGTTCTGATTTTAAAGTTCCAGAGTTCTAAGTCTAGTGTTCTAATTCTAGAGTTCTTGTTATAGGGATCTGAGTTCTAATTCTAGGGTTCTAGTTCAAGAGTTCTAAGTCTTGAGTTCTGAGTTCTAAATTCTAATTCTAGAGTTGTAGTTCGAGAGTTCTGAGTTCTAAGTCTAGAGTTCTTGATCTAGGGCTCTGATTTCTAATTCTAAAGTTCCAGAGTTCTAAGTCTAGAGTTCTTGTTCTAGAGTTTCGAGTTCCAATTCTAGAGTTCAAGTTCGAGAGTTCTAGTTCGAGAGTTCTGCACGTTAAAATTAGGTGTGCTTACTAATAGCTAACTACGCGCGCCATAGCGAAGCCACATTGCACTAGCAGATAACGATAAAGCGCCAAGCTTCGTCCTCAGTCTGAGGCCGCCAGCTTTACCACTTCTATAACGCTTATATACCTACTCTTTTGTCAGTTGAAACACCTGAGGAAAAAAGCTTCGCCTAAACGATTCCACCGCGATGCCATGCCGGCTCGTCAATCTAAAAACTCGGCTCAAAGGATCAGTCCAACATCAGAACTCCATCAGACGGGTTAGTCTCCTGTTCTACACCGACGGAGAGCCGTGTAGCTGTTTGCCTTAAAACCCTCCGAGGCACCGCCGAGCAAATTCAGATCGGATGAGCTCCTAATCAGGCCCTAATGCCTTCCCGCTCGGTACTTTCATCGACTCATGCCCGCGCATACACGCCTGGTTACCCGCGTGTGGGGACGATCCGTGCATGGGAATGTTTCAGGGCAACTGAAGGTGCTGGGTTCGAATCCTTCACAGACCCCCATTGTTCTATCCTATCTGTACCAGTATAGCCGGTATAACCGCCTTTCTGCATAACACACTACCTTCTCAGGCACGCGGCGCGGCGGCAGCTGGGGGGTAGGCGGTTCCCTCTAACAACAGTAATCCATTACCGGGTATGATGCTCCCTTTCCCAGTGGGAGGGGTACATCTACAAACGTTGCCCCACGAAGTTATCCTTCCTAATAAAGCGGAACTGACATATAACCCTAAATAAATTTCTCATTAAGCGCTGATGAGCGTACACGTCGTGATGTCGCCGGGAACACGCCCTGCAGATTCTCGCTTGTAACGCGCGGTCCTGGCGGAAAACACTCATAAGGCCACAGCAAGTAAGTTTCATGGATGACATCCCCCGCATACTCCGAAACTAATAAGATAGGGCGAAAAAAACACAAGATTCCTACATTTTCAAATTTTTTAATTATAAACCCTGTTAAGCAAGAATTGAGGCGACAAAACAAGGTAACACAACCAACACAACCTACAACAATTGTAGAAAAGAGCTTGTACCATCATGGGTGTACAGCTACCACTGTGTATTCGTGTGCGATGAAACACCTTAGACTATCAACACTTGCCATCAAATACGAGCAATTATGCCTCAAGTTTGCTGGATTCCCGACAGTCTCGTAGTCGACAGAAATTTCCGAGTATTTGCCCATTTTGACATGTTTACCACCGTCAAAGGGCAACAAAATTTCAGGGTTTTGCAGTCCCGTGGCGGAGGATATATTCAACTCTACCACAAGCCGCGCCCCAGTTTGTAATATGGTTCACTCATCAAGCTACACTGGGAGCGAGAGGACAGGAGATATCAAACTATCTCCTCTGGGGATTCACCAAAAGTTCAGGTTTGATGTTGGTGCAATGTTGACGCCACATCGCACAGGCAGGAACTTTATTGACAGTGACAATGGCAATGAACTTTATTGCATATTCACGCCCTACATGGGCCAAATGCAGATAACTGAGGAACAAGTGCTACATTGCCGTCTAAATCAGCCTGAATTTGGCTGCAGTTTACATACTTTACAGCTATAATTGGACACAAATGTAAAAACGTATTCGCTACGAGTTCCATTAACTTCATTCTAGAGAATTATGCAAAAAGAACAATACGTTCATGTGCGTATTCCAAATCTCATGTTTTGTGGAAAACCCACATATATATCAACTGTATGACCCTGGATTATTAATGGGTAAGTTAGTCTAGTGGATAATATGTGAGAATATTGTTCTTTTTGTCATATCAAAGCTGATAAAGAATGGCGTGGATAAGTACATATCATAACGGTGCTTTTTCATGCTGTCAAAAGACACAAAAACGCCCGAAGATAGAAAGTAGTGAGTGCGAAACACTCTTCATAGACCCATGGTCCAGACATATGAATGTGTGTGAAGGAGACACATTCCACATCTAATCATTGTCAGAGAGAAACAGTGATCACTCTGGTCTATTCAGGAGTACGATACAATAGAGTGATATATGTGTAAGGCTAGTCATTAATATTGCTGTGTCGTTGCTTGTTTTGTTGCTACATGATAGCAGATACTATAATGTCAAACGAGACATCTTTCATAACTCATATTCCAGACATATAAATGTGTGAAGCGGACATTTAGCATCTAAACATCATCAGAGGAAGCCATTTTTACTCTAGTCTATTCAGGACTATGATAGAGTGGAGGGTAACGTATGGCAAGGCTAGCTGTTCATATTGCCGTGTTGACGCCTTCTTTGTTGTTTAATGCCCATTCACAGAGTATGAGATAGTATACTGTACAGTAATCTCCAAGCAGATCTTTCGCTGACTGTAAGACAGTTGGCCAAGCAGTATCCATTTGCCAGACTGCTACCATTTATTTTGGGCTAGGGTAATAAAGATACCGGTACAAACAAGAAAAAACGATAAAAACGCCTAAAATACGTCAAAATAATCCGAAGCCCAAACCTCTGTCTAAAGAGTAGATGTAATATACCACCAGGAATCTTTTATAGACCCATTTCATAGTTGTGTCATGACTTATTTATTTTGCTTACGCTTGTAAAACTACAAGAAACGTAACAAAATGGAAATCGTTGCTCAGAAATACAGCGCTTGTTATAGATCTAGGAGAAAATTATCTTCTAATGTACGCTACTCTGGAGAGAGAAAAGCTTTCCTAATCATTTATTCAGGCTGTAACTCTCGTTAACGAAACCGCGAAAGGACTTACATATAATACCAATAGAAATAAGTCAGCAGATCTACGATAAGCTTATAATAATGGCGGCAAATCGTTCCGGTATTACTGTGATCCATGTAATACTCGCCCCAGCAGTGACATGAGTGAACCGATCAGCTAACAAATTACTGTTTTGTAGCGTACTTACTAGTATACATGTAAATTCTCACCTCTTTAGAGTACTTGTATTTTTAACGTGCCTTGCTCCTTAATTTAATGTATACGCAATGATTTATATCATTAGTGGAAGTGTGAAGATATTCTGAGTAACCGTGTTAACTTTATCAGTCAATCTTTTAATGCTGAAATGATTACATGTTGCAGATAGCAGTAATTTATGTAAACTACAGCCATATTTCATATAAGTGATACAGTATATTACAGCTCCACTTATTTTTGTTCACAGGTCATCAAGCCTAGAAGTTGAAAGTGTGACGTCACAAGGACGTCACAGGGACGTCACAAGGAAGTTCAGCTCTTCCCAGAAGATTGAAGGACCGTCCGACCGCCTTGGGGTGTCTGCAGCTCAGCGTACTTCCTGGCGTTCGTCCTCGGTCTTGAACAAACGTTCGGGCGCCTGTTAGCTCATCCCTCCACTAGCCTGGTTACCAAACCTTTGGTCGGCTTGGCGGTAATTTTTCGGCCTTTACCAAGCACAGGCGAGCTATACCACGGACCTATCTCCAGCTGGTTTCCCTGTATCCGCTGACTTCCTGTATTACGCTCAGTCTTCTGTTGCCGCCTACTTAAAACCGACGTTGTGAGCGAAGAAACCTAAACCCCCCCGAAGCGCGGTAATTGAGGCCTGGTTGGCGGCCCCAAACGCTCTCGGTGCCGAAGGGATAGCACTGAGCTTACGGCGGTCTGGTTACGAGGCTATCCGTCAACGGTCTTGAACAAACGTTTAGGCGCCTACTAGCTCATCCCTTTACGAGGACCTGCATGGGGGGGGGGTAGTAACTACGAATTACGCAAAACTTTCGCCGCCGATTACGACTTACTTTAAATTCTCAGAGCTGATTACGACTTTACACTTTGCGGCTAATGTACTATAATTACGAATTACGTTGATTTTTGGGAGGCTGCCTACGGATTACGAAGACTAAAAGGCCTGATTACGCCTTACGAAAAAGGGCATGCAGGCCCCCATTCACAACAGGAGTACTCGTCTGTGAGAATATGCAAAGCCCCTGTCTGGACTTACGACACACACTGTGACACGGACTTACAAATCTGCGGTGCACCCCGAGGCGAAAACGTAGAGGACGATTTCAAGTAGCAAGTAGATAGGAACTGAGGTAGTATTATGCACGCATCTTTCTAGGATCACCTACGCATTTTTATTACAGTTCGACAAGGATTTGTTTTACCAAGGCAAAAACGTAGAGGACGATTTCAAGTAGCAAGCAGATAAGCGCAGAGGTAGTATTATGCATGCAGCTTACAAGGATTCTGTACGCATTTTTATTAGAGTTCGGCAAGGATTTGTGGCGTTACAGTGAATTGAGACACCCGGAAACGTACAGGACGATTTTAGGAGATCCTAGTAGCAAGTAGATAAGAAATAGGGTAGTATTATGCACGCAGCTTTCAAGGATCCCGTACGCATTTTTATTACAGTTTGGCAAGGGTTTGTGGCGTTGCAGTGAATTGGGATACTAAGGGAGACTATTGTTAGCTTCCCAAATCTATCCAGCTGCTTGAGTAACTGTTTTCTTGTGTATCTCATTACCTGGATGTCTAACCTACATTGACGTATTGTTACTAGCACGTGTAAACCACAAAGATCTAAACTGCTTACGCTGGATGTTGAGGAGGCCAAGTCAACTGATTCAGAAGAAAACATTCTGAAAAGGACCGAATACGGCATCGCTGGAATTCACTTTGTCTTTCCGGAATCCCTCTCTCCGGAATTTCCCTTGCTTTCCGGAATCCATCCGGATACCCAAGTCGTCCAGAATTTACGCGGTGACAAGATTTCAGGAGCAATAGTTTTGTCTCCGGAACTTCCAATCCGGAATTAATTCCGAAAAAAAATCCGGATTCTACCATGACGGGCGGCATCAGCAACGTGACGAACAGTACGGACATCCGGGACATGCAGTCGCGGGTGTTTGTGGGTAACCTGAACACGGTGAAGGTGTCCAAGGCGGAAGTGGAGAGCCTGTTCTCTCGGTACGGTCGGATACGGGGGTTCTCTATACACAAGGTGAGAGGACTATGTTACGATAGTTACAATAAGTTGGTTTCGTTTCTTTGTTTTTTTCTTTCCCTGACACGTTCATATGTTTAAATTTAGTTGACTTTATGTACTCTTGTGTTGACTTATGCACTTTTGAGTTGACTTTTATGTACCAATTATGTTATGTACCACTTAAACGTTGTATTAAGTTCTTTATTTGATGTCTCCAGTATGACCTTTGAATTGATTTGGATTGATGTTAATGTGACTTCTGTACTGGTGTCTTATAAGCCCAATGGGCTGGGCGACAATGTCGCAAGACACAATAATAAAATTCATTCATTCACTATGTTGACTTGAGCATAACGGAAATCGCCATGCTGACTAGCATTCTGGTTTCGACTCGCGAATTGATATGTCATTATAGCTTGTCCATATTTGTACATGTGTCTGCCAATTCAGCCTCAAGGCCATCAGCGGACTTGTCTTTGATTTTAATTATAAACCGGTCTACTTCTCCCACCAGGGGTACGCGTTCGTGCAGTACACGGACGAGGCTGAGGCCCGGGCGGCGGTGGCGGGGGAGGACGGCAGGGAGATAGCCGGGCAGATCCTCGGTAACTTGCTTTCATGTTTTCCCATACAAATTTTATGAACAAGTCTTTTTTTCTCATCTTATAGCATCTTCAGCATTAGAATGGCTTTGAGAAATACCCCCCCCCCGTTCCTTGCAATATGACGATGACCGGAAAATCGCCGGGCAGATTCTCGGTAACTGGCTTTGAAGTTTTCATCTACATTTGTATGTCCTTTGTTAATGTTATAACATATTTGCCATTAGATGGAGGGTCGTTTCTTCCAAACCAGGACGTTCTAAGTGCGTATTGACATAGCACGGGCACACA